CGGTTCAACAAGTCACAAACAGTCTCTCTCGGGCTACGACGATGCCAAACACTATTACAAGGTCACGCCAAAACGCGGAGGAGGATGAATCTAGCTATGGCGGAGGCGGGCCCACGCATGACCGGGAGATGGAGAGGATGGCGGAACAGCTGCGCCAATTGCAGGCTAGATGGATGGTCGAGCAGAGAGGCGCGCTCGAGGACACCCGTTCTCGGCAGACATACTGGCAGCACCCTTGCCAAACAATTACAAGGATACTAACTTGGTGTTCGATGGGACTTCTGACCCGTCGAGACACGTGAGGACATTTGAAAATATGGCTGTGTTGCACGAATATACCGACCCTGTTAGTTGCAGGGCCTTTTTATCGACCCTTAGGGGAGGGGCGCTCGACTGGTTCCAACAGCTCCCCCCGGGCTCGATAGTGAACTTTGAGGATTTTGCGGAAAAGTTGACAAATCAGTATTCGAGCGCGGTGGCTCAGGAGAAAACGTATTTGACATTGATGGCGATGAGGCAAGGCGAGAAGGAGTCACTGCGTAAGTATGTTGCTCGATACAATCAGGCTTGTTTGGAGATTCCATCGGCGGTCGACGAGATCAAGGCGGGAGGACTGATAAGGAGTTTGCGGGCAGGACCATGTCGGACTTCTCTGGCTAAGACCCCTGCTCACACGTATGACGAAGTATTGAGGAGGTGCAGGAAATATATCAATCTCGAGGAGACTGAGGCGGAGTTTGCCAAACTAGAGGAGTTAGGTCGAGGGGAGTCGAGGAAGGAGAAAGCAGTCTCGCCCAAAAGGAAAGCCTCGCCCAGGAGGGAGGGGCGAGCTAAGCAAGATCGAGGGGGAGAGGACAGGTGGAAGGACCGACCTATCTCTAGAGGGAAAAGATTCCATGATTATACCCCGTTGAACGCAAAGGTAGCCGAGATTCTGATGGCTATGGAGAAAGGGATAGATGGGAAAGACGTGACGTGGCCAAGGTCGAGGTTCGAGGGGCCCACCCAACCGAAGTCGAGGAGATATTGCTGCTTCCACAAAGACTATGGCCATACTACTGAGGATTGTCGGCATCTCAAGGACGAAATTGAGCGCCTTATTCGAGCAGGGCATCTCAAGGAGTTTGTCTATCAGGATAAGGGGAGGAGAAAGGAGAAGAGAAGGTGTCGGGTGGACTCGGTAGAGAGGAGCGAGGAAGATGATAATGAGGAGGCGCAAGGTGGTCGAGATGGTCGAAAAAGGGATGAAGGGAAGAGAGGGCGAAGAAGTAGAGAGCGGGAGAAAGAAGGGGATGGAGGCCAAGTAAAAAGAGGCACGATATACATGATTTCAGGAGGACCGACGGACGGGGACTCGAACAATGCAAGGAGAGGCCAC